CCTGTGCCCCGCTGGTGGGAATGGAAAATGGGTCGAGTTTCCTAAAGCTGGGCAGTGATTCCTCAGACACCCCAACGTGGATTCAGCACCTGACCCAGAAAGGCTACCTTGGGGCAAGTGATCAAAAGAAACCCAGGCAGGGTGTTGAGTAGACTTTGCCCTGCTCTGTTCATGGCACTATGCATAGGAACTAAGACATGCAAGCAACCTGACTGTCCGCTGATGAGTGGGTGGATAAATAAAAAGGCTTCTCTGCACACAGTGCGAAGGAAGAGAATTCAGCAGCTGCTGTAGCCTGCATGAGCCTCTCTGGACATCACGCTGAGTGAAATGAACCCATCGCACAAGGGCACACACAGTGTGCGGCACTTTCAGGAGAGGCCCTAGAGCAGGAAGCTTTCCAGAAACAAAAAGTAGAATAGTGGTTGCCCAGGCAAAAGCTATGCTACCTATACTTTAGCATATTGAGAATGTATAGCTGCAAAAAAGAGCATCTTGGTGGATTAAATATAAGGTCATGGCATTGAGCTGCATTCATAACCTGCTCTTCTACTGAGACAGGCTTTTTACTAAAACTGGGCTGAAGTGGCAATCCTCCTGCCTCAGCTACCCAGTGTGCTAGGATTAGAGGTCTGAGCCCCCTATATATTCAAGGGTAGATACTCAAATGAAGCAAAGATGTGGTCAGTTTACAAAATGACATTTTGTAGTTGAACTAAAGCACTGCTTTACTCCTTGATCTCAAGAAAACCATTTACTTTCTCCCATACATGCTCGATCCCATGATGCTTACATGGACAGGCAGCTGTGATGGCGAGGATATTAAGGTATCACAAGGACTCATTCAGAGTCAAAGTGTCATGCAGATGGCCACAGGTAAAAACACCAGCCACACAGCCCCTAACACTGTGTTGCACCTGGAAGGGGGATGCTTTCTGTCAAATTGACACATCCAGTTGTGATGCCTTTGTGAACCCATCCAGTGCCCTTGTACTTCCTCATGAAGGAAACTAAAGGGATGCCAGGATGCCTACAGAGTCTGCTCAACCAGGGCCAAACATACTAAACCCAGTAGTTTCCCCCAACCATCAGACAAAGGATATAGGGGAAGGGGGCTCCCAAACATATGACACGCCCAGGACACTGGGGCTAGGTGTGCAGCCACCAGTGAGGAAGCCCATTGGCTGAGCAAGGAGTGTGTGGAGCAGAACATGCGATACCAGAAGCCACATGTACCACATTCTCTTGTGAATGGTTGTTTGTCTCCATGAGACAGGCTCTCACTAGGTAGCCCAGGCTGGCCTCAAACTCACAGCACTCCTCCTGCCTCAGCTTACCTAGTGTTGTGACCACACGAGGGCCTCCAACATCTGAACACCAATACTGTTGCTGTGGCCATGCAACAGAGTCACTGAGGGCCCTGAGTCAGAAGACCAGTGGATTTGTCCCCAGTCCACCTCTGACTAAGGGCCAGTCACCCAGAATCTCTGTATTTTTGTTGTGCATGTGGGAAAAGGAGACCCCTGTCCAGCCTGCCACCCTCCAGAACAGAAACAATGGCCTTCTGAGATCTCAGTTCAATAGGGGACACTTCTAAAACAGAAAGGGAAAAGCCCTTCGGCGACCAGGAAACCCTCACCTCATGGGTATGATGCAGGCTTTCCTCCTTGTCTGAGCTGGCACTGAGAATGTTGGGACATAATAGGTGTGTTCCCACTGGTCTGTGTCCATGAGTGGCTGTCCCCAGGGGTTCCTTCCTTGGTGTTCACAGAAAGAAACATGCTGGCACTTTCCAGTCTGGGCCCCCAGCCCAAATTCCATGTGGTAATGCTCAGGCTCCTGGGAGCTTGGAAAGATCTCTGTGAGATCTCTGTTCGGGGCAAGGAATACACCGATTTCCAGTGCGCCTGACACGACACTCCACTGTACAGTGTACCCACAGAGCATACACAGGAGGCATCACGGGTACTTTTGCACATAATAGAGATGGAGCACAAACCATAGGTATCATTGCAAAGTGCCCACAGGAGTCTGGAGGGGCCTTTCCACCTTTTGCCTAAGATGGATCCCTGGAGCAACCCCTGCCATGTGGAGTCCTTTGCCCTTCGCAGAGAATGTCTTTCTCAGGCATCCTCCTGGTCTCTGTTGAGATTGAGGGCAAAAAGCTCAAGAACACTTCCAACCTGTCCAGCCACTTCAGTCAGTCTCCCCCGTGACCAGCAGAGGAAAGACTGTTGGTGCAAGAGCTGTCCCTCCCTGGGCTCAGCCTCTCACTCTGAGCAATGGGAGCAGCTCAGAGGAGCTCTGACCAGACCCCTGGCTCCAAACTTCTGCTTCCCAAGGAATGTGACACCCCCCAAGCCTTTCTCCATGTCCCTCCACTTGAGTTCAACCTGTCAAACCGAACAATTTCAGGAAGGAAGGGGGATGATTATCTAGGGAGTGGGATAGGATTGCTTCTCAGCGCTTCATGAAAAAACACATGGGAGTGGGCTGAGATGGGCAGTGAAGATCTGAATCAGTCTCAGGGGCACCAGGCAGCTCCTTTCAAAGACACAGGAAGGAAACCAGGATCTCTTAAGGAAGCGTACAAGGATGCGATTGCATTCTGGTGACCAAGGCCTGAAGGCTGGGGACGTCACGCACATTCTAGACATCCAGGAAAGGGCCTTCACAGTACAAGGACACTGATTTTATTGCAAATTCCATTACACTGGACAATGTGCTGCCCATAAATCAGATTCCAAAACTCTTAGAGAAGGGTGTGTGTGAACATGCACCTCACACATGGGCAGGATCTGAGGATCACTGCTGAAGCAGCTGTAGAGGATGAGTCTCAGAGGCAAACATATAGCAACGTTCTGCCCTCAAATCATTACGTGAATCTTCTTTGGAGAAGACAACGCATGTTGGCTTTTTGATTTGTCTAATGCCAACTGTGGCGTATGAGGCTTCAGTGTGTAGAACTCCGGGAGATGGGAGTGAGTCCATGAAATTCTGAACATGTGACTGCTCTTTTCAGGGATTTATTTGTGACTGGAGCCTCTTCAGTCACAGGAGACCTGTGAGCAATCAGTATCCACAGCAGAGTTCTGTGCCTTTTACGTGGCATGGGGTCACTTTCCCATCTTGCCTTCTGCACAAATCAGCTCAAGGCTTCAGTTAAATTTCTGGGTTAGGGTTCGGGGGTTTAGCTCAGAGACATAAGTGCCAGCCAGCCCTACAAGTGCGAGGTCATCAGTTCAATTCCAGGTACCAAAAAACAGTTTGTGTCAAATGTTTTACTGGCCCCTCTCATGTGAAAGACGTTAGGGTGTGCTTTGGACCGATTCATCAGTAAGGGGATGAGCTGCAGTTCTCTCTCCCCTCAGTTGGCCCAACGCACCGTTTAAGAATGTAATCAACTGAAGGTTTTTGAAGGTTTACAGGGTGCCTTGGGGTTCTGTTGGAACAGCCATGACGGTCAGGGTGGGTAGGGAAGCTGTATGTACAGTCCCAGAAAGGCACAGAAAGGGGCTGAGTCCTGACAGCTGGTACCTAAATTAGAAACAAGGCCTATGCTGCTAGTGCAAGGTATCAAAAGCCAAAGTGCCTTCACTGCTGTGTTAATTATCCTGAGAACCGCTCTTGAGGTGTAGCACAGTAGCAGAAAACTTGCCTGGCACGTGGAAAAGATCTCCGATGTGGGCAAAGAATAACAGAAAAGACAACCAACTGCTAAAGGACCCTCCACTGTGCAGTGTACTCCCAGAACAGAAGCAGGACACATCGGGGTCCCCGGAAAGCAGAGCAGACACAGGGTTCCAAGTCCATACTGAAATTACAACTATATCCAGTAGCCTCTGGGTCAATATAAATTATATATATATATATATATATATATATATATATATATATAAGTCCTATTATTGAAATTTTATTGAAACTCTAGTGAGATACAGCAAATAATTTATTGGGCTGATATTGCTAGGCTGAAGGAATTGCAGTCCCCTATGGCAATTCATATTGCCAGTACTGGCCATTGGCAGTACATATGGCATAAAGGAGGTGGAATTTAAGATCCCAATATTATATTCCATCAAAAGCTTTTATATCCTAATTCTCTCCCCTAGGAAACCCCTGCTGGCACAGCCCAGTAGAAGAAACATGGGCAATGCCCAAATAGTGGTTTCCGAATGCGTCTCCTCACCCAGGGCTCCCAGGAGGAGCGGCAGGGCTGATCTAGCCCCTGGCCCATACTCTTCCAAGATCCACCTGGGAAATCAGGCTAGGGAACAAAAGAGAAAAAAACCTCAAAGCCTAAGGGGGTCTTCTAACCGCTATGGGTGTCTGTGGTGCTGAGGAAACCACCCTTCAATTAGACAGTGGTGACTGTCAGGCAAAGATGGGGAGATTGGGAAACCCCTGCTGTAAGAGTGCATTGTATGGGATGTCGATTATATTTCATCACCAGTGCTAGGAGGATGATTATAAAATGAGCGCTTTTAATAAGAAGTACAAGAGCAGAAAGAGGCCTGGGAACCCCTGGGACATCCCTGCCATCTGCACGGGATGGGGGACCTGCCTGGGAGAGCTCCCCAGTACTCTCTTGCAGGGGACCTGGCTGTGCTCCGAAGGGAGACCCACAGACAGACAGACAGACAGACAGACAAACAAGCAGACAGGCTGGCAGGCAGGCTGGCAGGGAGCCAAGCAGTCCTTCTGCGGGAACGAAAGCCTTCCCCCTGCCCAGGAACAGGGTCCCTGTCCTGTTTCTCAGGGTGAGGGAGAACCGCGCTGGTATCAATGCCAGGAGGTTAAGGTGGCTCTTTGTAAAATGCCATTTGTATCGTGGGAAGCAGCGCTGCAAGCTGATCTCAAAAGGGCTGGCATCTGGCGTGACGCGTGCGTGCTCACGCGTGCTGCAGGGAGGCCGAGCGCCGCTGGCGCCCGTGTGTTTCGTGTGTGTCGGAAGGAACCTGGCGCTGGCGCTCGGCCTCTCCTCCCTCCGCGGCGTGGGCGGCGCGAGCCAGAGCGCGGGGCGAGCCAGGGAGCAGGCGCGAGAAAAGCTCTGCCAGCAGCACGCAGCCCACAGCCTCTGGCCAGCCGGCCGGCCACCCAGTGCGCGTGCGCGGCTTCTGCAGCCAGCCGGGACCAGACCTGCGGACAGCGCAGCCGGCGAGTGAGCCTTGCGGGGCGCTAGGCGAGGTGGAGCCCGACACAGCCCGAGCCGCCAGCGACATGGGGGACCGCGAACAGCTGCTGCAGCGGGCGCGGCTGGCCGAGCAGGCAGAGCGCTACGATGACATGGCCTCCGCCATGAAGGCAGTGACAGAGCTGAATGAACCCCTTTCCAGTGAAGATCGCTATCTCCTCTCCGTGGCCTACAAGCATGTGGTTGTGGCCAGGCGGTCTTCCTGGAGGGTCATCAGCAGCATCGAGCAGAAAGCCATGGCCGATGGAAACGAAAAGAAATTGGAGAACGTCAAAGCTTACCGGGAGAAGATTGAGAAAGAGCTGGAGACAGTTTGCAACGATGTCCTGGCTCTGCTCGACAAGTTCCTCATCAAGAACTGCGGCGATTTCCAGTATGAGAGCAAGGTGTTTTACCTGAAGATGAAAGGTGATTACTACCGCTACCTGGCAGCGGTGGCTACTGGGGAGAAGAGAAACATCGTGATTGAAGCCTCGGAGGCGGCCTACAAGGAAGCCTTTGAGATCAGCAGAGAGCACATGCAGCCCACGCACCCGACCCGCCTGTGCCTGGCCCTCAACTTCTCTGTCTTCTACTACGAGATCCACAGGGCCCCCGAGCAAGCCTGCCTGCTAGCCAAACGGGCCTTTGACGACGCCATAGCCGAGCTGGACACACTGAAGGAGGATTCCTATAAGGACTCCACGCTCATCCTGCAGTTGCTGCGAGACAACCTCACCGTCTGGACCCGGGACCAGCAGGATGAAGACGCACCAGAAGGCAACTGAAGAGCCTTCGGGGCCCTGGCCCTTCGTCGTCCCCCCCCCCCCCCGCCGCCCCCATCATCACCGGTTCTTCCCTGCCATGCTCACTGAACATCTAAACCCGCCGTCGGTCTTGGCAGCACCCCTGCTCAGAGCTGCTGTCCTGTCCCCGGGGAGGCACTTTCAGGTCAGCCTCCCTGGGCCTCGCTGGACTGACGGTGGCTCTGAGCCCGCAAGATCGCCCTTCTGGGGCTGTGCAGAAAAGGGTATTGCCCATGAGGCAATGGCTATGCCTGTTGATCTGTGGCAAGTCCAGGTGAATGTAACTGGGGCTGTGGAGAGGAGAGGTAGCCGGCCACGGGCTAGGGTTGGTATGGGAAACAAGCTGATAAGTGTTTTTGTCCAGCAGTACATCTGGTGCATGCAAAAGTGAACGCGACCCTCCCACCTGTTTGTTCAGCTCATGGGAGGCTTAGGGGGAGCTGAGGCAGGGAGGCAACTTGCTCCCTTCCATCAGCTTTCCAATGCAGTGTTTAATGTGAGGTTTCAGTAGCACCTTGTTTTGCCTCTCTGATCTAGGACGCGCGCAAACCTTCTTCACAATGTAATGCATCTGCGGTTTTGATGTGTGTAGCTTGTTTGGTTTGGGTTGCGATTGTTTAGGGCTCATGGAATTTATTGGTTTCTCTGTAACTCCCTGGCCATTGTCCTCGTGTATCCTGACAGTGCCATGTGCGTCAGCCCCTGTCAGTCGAGAGGGGTGATTATGAGTGTCAGACTCCTAAAATAAATGTTTTGGAATCCAAAGGGTAAATAAATGCTGCCTTGGGGGATATGAAAAAGTCAAACAAGAAACTGGCAAATGTATAGCATGTAACAGGCCTTGGGTTCAATCCCCAGCCCTATCAAATAAATACATAAATACCTGAATTATGTGATGGGGGAGATTCCAAACTGTACATGAAAAAAGTTAATTTGTTTCCGGAAATTGCCATTTAATCTGAAAGTCCGTGACCATTTTCCAAGGTGCTGTGAATCTGTGTATGACTTTGTGCTATGGCTATCTTCTGGGGACATTTCCATGTGTTACTCCGCCTATGAGATATAGTCAGATGTAGAATGAATAAATGTGACTTTATTTCAGCACCGTTCCGCTTCACATTCAATCAAGGAAGCTGTTGCTTTTTCTGTCCTGTTAACCACTTTGTTCTTTGGTAACATCATTTTACTAACATGGCTTTTATTGATAAGCATAAGTATTGTATGAGGTGTGTAGTAACATTAAAGCTTCTCTTGAATAAAGGAATTTTATGTATGATTGTTTGTCTGTTTGCTTTTGTTTTGGGTTTAAGCCTTTAAAGCTCCCAATGGGGACGTGAAAAAGACACTCATGTCCCTGTGGCCCCACTATCAAAGATAGGACAGCTGGAACATTGTTGTGGCTTAGATCTCCATATGTGACCTGTGTGTCTTTGTTTTGGAGGTGGTGATGGTCAGAATGGGCAGGACAGGCTACCGGGAGTGAGGCATGACAGGTAGCATTCTGGCCCCTGTCTTCACCCGTGTCCCCCTGATTCCTGGCCACCACGCAGCGTGTGCAGCTTTCCTCTGAGATGCCAGCTGACCATGCTGTTTCGAACTTGGGGCTTGCAGGCCACAAAATGAACCCAGTGACCCTTTGAGGCCACATAAACCTCTCCTCCTTGAAGTGTCGGGAGCTGGGAACTTTCTGACAGGGGCTCAGAAGGTGCCCAGTAGATCCATGAAAAGGATGAATGTGCCAGGCATCTCGGCCCACGCCTTCCTCCCAACTACTTGGGAGGAAAATCTCAACTTGCAGGTCAGCTTGGGCAACACACTGAGAGCCTGTGTCCAAAAGAGGAAAGCAGAAGAGGGTGAGGATGCAGGTGATCGGTAGATCACTTGCCCGGTACTCACAGTGCACTGGGTTCAAGCCCTAGTTCTGCAAAAAAGGGAAAAACTCGAGGGACGATGAACAGATGCAACAGGAAGAGGGCACAATGTTGCATTCTTGGGTAACATTGAGTTGGCAATTATTGAGACTGGCCATGACTGTGTGACACACTGCCTTTTACGAATGTGTCTGTTTTGATTTTTTTTTTTCCTTTTGTCGTTGTGGGTGTGTGTGTCTGTGTCTGTGTGCATGCGCAAGTGTGCCTCTGTGCATGTGTGTGTCTGTGTACATTGATTGAACTCCGGCCTTTCAGAACTGAGGTAGACTCCCACTAAATTGCTGAGTTTGGCCTCAGACCTGTGACCCGCCTACCTGTGTCTCCCAGAGCACTGAGCTTGGAGGCAATAACCACTGTACCTGGCCAAATCTACTTTTGCACACTTGGAAAAATGTATAGGGGAGATGTGTCATTAACACAACATTGAAAATAAAAGTCTACTTTTCTTTTTAGCAGAGATTTCAGGGGGTGGTGTAGTGGTTAATGTGCTCACGCACTCTCACTCCATACACTATGGGCTGTGGCTTCTACCTACATGTCCCTCCTCCCACACCCCCATGTACTCAAGGATGGGGCCTTTTGGAAGCAGCTGGAACTAGGGTAAGTGAGTATGGATTAAAGGTGTAAAGATTGGACTAGTACACTGGTTGGTTTTGCATTGCTCTGGGCATGAGGAATGGGCAGCCCAGCCCTGGGTGTGGGTTGCACTAGCCCGTAGGCTTGAACCCTGGGTTCAACATAAAGGGAGTGATGGAAGGTGGGCTGGCTGCTTCCTGCCTGAATGGCCATGGACTGTGTCTCTAGCACGATGCCCCTGTGCCAGGTTGCCCTGCCTTGGATTCAGCTGACTAGGAACTGAAGCCTCTATCACGGGGAGCCAAAGTAAATCTTTCTTCCTTTCACTTGTGGGTGTTGGGCATTTTGTCTCAGCACTGAGGAAGTAACTAACACATTGAGTGTATATGCTGTTACTTACCTTAGCCAAGCGTACTAAAAAACTCATAGACAGTCAGACCTATGGGAGATTGGCAAGAATTTTATAAATGAAAGCCTCTCGTTGAACCTGGATGTCTGTGAATATAATCGATGTGAAGAAAAGGATGAAAGGAGATGTGTGACCAATGGTGTGCGCGTTCTGCCCCCAAGTACTTTTGCCATGCTCTTGAGTCCCTGGGCACATTTGGTGGAGCTCTGCTGCAAAACTTTTGCACAAACTCTTGGGAATGTGGGCTTTGGAACTGCAGTGCAGCTCTCAAAGTTGTTTTTCAGAACTCAGGACGACTGAGGTGACCAGGAGAAGTCTAAGAAAGGAAATCTGCCCCCGCCTGACTATGTCAAGAAGGCAACTGGCTTTGCCATGAGCATGGCATTCCCACTTCCCTGAGTATTGGGCTCCAGTGGGACATGGGAAGGTGGTGCGATGTGAATCCCCTGATGTTCATGGAAGAGTAGTGATTCTAGGGACCAGCAGTGGAGAAGCCTGCACTAGCAGCAATGCTCAAAGCCTGCGCTCTGACAAATGGGATGCTAGTGAGGGCCTTCTGCAGGATTTCCACCTACAGGTTTCTGACTGCATAAGATTGTGAAGGCTTTGGCAATGAGCCTTAGGGTGCTGGCGACCCCCACAAGGGGCTGAACTCTTGCTTACACAGGGAGTGAGGAATGCATCACTGTCAGTGTGTGGGTGACACATTCTGACTTTGCTGCAGTTGTGATGGTGGTAAATGCAGACACTTCACAGCCCCACACAAAGGGTGCCAGTGTAGGAGGGTGACAAGTCACCCGTGTGTCACACGCACAACTCCAGAGGCCCATGGAAGTGCTGCTGAGGATCCAGATGATGGCAGCAAAGCCTGGAACCAGGCGATCCACTGAGGAAGGTCATGGTGGCTGCATGTACAGGGCAAACCGAGAGCAGAATCCTTGGCCCTGGGACCCCTGAATGGGAGCAGTAGCAGCAGGGCAGTGCTAAAATCCAAAGAAGAGGCTTGGACCTCTGGATTGGTGCCAGTGTGCAGCCTCTGCAGCCTTAGGGAAGGGCCATGGGCAATTTTGTACAGAATGCTCCCAAATGCACAAACCCTCCATCTGTCCCTGTCTGAGTGTCGGGCTAAAGAAATAATAACACATGGTGCCCAATATCAGTCACAAAAATCTCATCAAGGCACTGCTGGTCATCACAAATGTGGAGAAAACACTCCATATATGATGTGTGGTTAAACGATGGATGTATGCTTCATCTCTGCAATGGAGACACGTGCTGACATTAGAAGGAGAAGTGGAATCACATGAAGTGGTTTGTGTGTCTTGGCTCTTCCCACTTAGCAGAGCATGTGTAGGGTTCTCTCATGTCACAGTGCATGTTCCAATGTGTGCACATGAATGTGCCACCGTGTGCCTGGTCACTGGTGCATTTTATGCATGTGGAAGGCTTCTATGCATTGCCTCTTAGGAACACTGCCCTGTGCATATGCACTGATGAGCCTCTGCATGCACGTGTGCTCCCTTTGGTTTTGCTGGCTACCTGGCAAGACGGTCAGCAGGTCATAGGGAAAGTGCACATTGAGCTCTTTGGGAATTACAGAACCATTTTCCCATCCACAGTGTATTAGAAACCCACTTTCTTCATATCCCCCACCCTTGGTATTTTCCATCATTGTGGTTTTAATACAGATGTTAGAGTTTCAATGAACCATGTCACCAAAGAGATGGTCACAATATATTGAGTTCTAAGTTTATGCTATAGTAGCATCTACATAATACATTCATGAATGAGAATTACACTGGAACCATATATGCTGTTATAGTGAGAATTTTTTAACTGGGTTTGGGGCATTTTGGTGGCTTTTGGGAATAGTCAAGGATCAGAGCCATAGAAAGATCCCACAAAATCTAAGTGTACCACTCAATAAACCGGCACGGGGCAAACGCCCGTGTAGTCAGCACTCCTTGTTCTCTGTGCTGCTGTCTCACCACAGCATCCCTCCCTAAAAGGTTCCAAAAATTTTGCCCGTTTTTCAAAATGGGAACCACCCAGCAGGCATTTCTGTGTGACTCCCTTTCTCACGCCACTCCATATGCATACACTCAGATTGTGATGATTTCAATTGGTGTCTACTTGTCACATGGAATTCTGAGTTTCATTTCGGGGTGTTCATACATGCATTTAACATATATTGTTCAGTCTCCCCTCCCCTCATTGCTTCCCTTTCTCTTCCTATTCATTCTCCTACCCAATGTAATCAATTATCAGTTCCAGGGGAGAAATCCCAGGAGCAGGATCAAAGTGCCTGGCCCACAATGCACTGCCACAGTGGACAGTACGAAGAAGAAGGATAACCGGGACGCCTTCAGATGCAAATCCAGTGGGTGCTTACGTAAGGCTCCTAACTTCACACTCTACCACACTCTTCAGCATAAAGTCCTCCCGTATATTGCAATCAAAGGAAATGTCCCCTGTATGCTAACTAGATCAGAGGTGGTACAAGAATGTACAAATATGTGTGCAGTTGAGTATGCCTTTAGTGACTGTGATCTTATAGGACCCTCAGTGTTGTTTTTAACAGCATCCGAGTAAACACACGTGCATAAAAGTTTGGCAGGCAGTACTTCCAAATGTCAGTTTCAGTAGGCATTGTATCTTCATGCTCATTACAGCGCTTTGTATGGAGAACCTCCCCCAAAGGCCTCATGTGCTCCCACTCATCACTCCAATCACCTGCTGAGTTTGGCAGCTGAGAGAGCTATAGGAAAACGGGGCCTGAACGGAAGTTGAGGGTCACTGCAGAGTGGAATAGAGCCTTGTGGAATGTTGGAGACCACCACAGAGCGGCTCTGAGCAGGACCTGAAGATTAACCAATTGGCTCTCTATGTTTACTTGTGAGTCTGTCTGGAGATGAACAGCAGATTCATGGTAAGTGAACCTCTATGAATCACCGGTCCTGGCTGAGGCCTGTGTTGGCCTGTGATGCTCTGATGCCTCGTAGGACAAGATAAGGATGCCTGGCTCCCACCCCCATGAACTAGACGGAGACTGCAGCTGCAGGCCTCTCACTCCTGCTGTCTCAGCCCTGCCATAGGTGTCAAGCTGGGGATAAGATGGCTCTCCTAAATAAGCACAGTTTACTGCTTGCAGAAGTGTCTGAACTGACCCCCGAGTTTCTGATCAGTTCCCGCGTTTCCCCCTGTTCCTCCCTTTGTTTGAAACCAAGTAAATGTGGCTCTCCCAGAGAAGTTCTTTGTCTCAGCCCCCAGAATCTGGAATTCTGATAGAGATTTTTGATCCTCCTGCAGCCCTAAAATCATACCACCTGTCTCTTTTATTCAAGCCTTTGCCTTCCACTT